AGGATGGAGCTGGGGAAGCGGCTGAGGGAGCTGGGGGGGCTCTGCCTGGAGAAAATGAGGTTCAGGGGGGACCTTCTCACTCTCTGCAACTCCCTGACAGGAGTGGGGAACTGGGGGGGTCGGGCTCTGCTCCCAGGGAACAAGGGACAGGACAAGGAGAAACGGCCTCAAGCTGTGCCAGGGGAAGGTCAGGTTGGATATTGGGAAATTCCTTCATGGAAAGGGCTGTCCAGCCCTGGCACAGGAGTGAAGTCCCTATCCCTGATGGCACTTGTGAACATGGTCAGTGGTGGCCTGGGCAGCACTGGGGGAACAGTTGGACTCGATGATCTTACTGGATTTTTCCAACCCAAACCATTCCATGGTTCCTGGGCAGGTTCCTGCACTGCGCAGAGAAGGACCTGGTGCCGTACTTGGACAAGCTGAACGACAACACCCTGAAGGAGACACTGGTGAACGGGGTTGGGTACCTGCACGAGGGGCTCACGGCCATGGAACGACGTGTGGTGGAGCAGCTCTTCAGCTCTGGTAAGGGGTGGGGTGGGGACAGGGCCTGGAACCCTTTTCCTTGGAGCTCAACAGTGCCCAAAGTCTTGAGACTGGAGATGACATCTTGTCCAAGCTTTGTGGCACTTCTAACAGAGACCTGAGAGCCCCTTCCAGAGACTAAAGGGGCTCCAGGAGCTGGAGAGGGACTTTGGACAATGGCCTGGAAGGACAGGACAAGGAGGAATGGCTTCCCACTGACAGAGGGCAGGGTTAGATGGGATATTAGGAAGGAATTCTTCCCTGTGAGGATGGGGAGGGGCTGGAATGGAATTCCCAGAGCAGCTGTGGCTGCCCCTGGATCCCTGGAAGTGTTCAAGGTCAGGTTGCACAGGGCTTGGAGCAACCTGGGATAATGGAAGATGTCCCTGCCCATGGCAGGGGGTGGAACAGGAAGATCTTTAAGGTCCCTTCCAACCCTAACCATTCCATGATTCCATGATCCTCTGCCTCTCACATCCAAAAAATCTACCGTATTAAACATCACCCCCCACCTTTCCTGCACCTCCCTGTATTCCCAGACCCCTCTGGGGAGCGTGGAACCCCACAGATCTCTCTCCCCCCCAATTCCAGTGCCCTGCAAAAATGCTGAGCACCCTCCCTGTGCCCCTTCCAGGCGCAGTCCAGGTGATGGTGGCCTCCCGCAGCCTGTGCTGGGGCATGAACATCGCGGCCCACCTGGTGATCATCATGGACACCCAGTACTACAACGGCAAGATCCATGCGTGAGTGGAGCCCCCCAATCCCACAGGGCCTCATTCCTGCCCAAGGGGATCCCCGGGAGCTCTCCTTGGAGCTCTGCTCACCCTCTGTCCCTGCCCAGGTATGTGGATTACCCCATCTACGATGTGCTGCAGATGGTGGGCCACGCCAACCGCCCGCTGCAGGACGACGAGGGCCGTTGTGTCATCATGTGCCAGGGGTCCAAGAAGGTGGGTGAGGGCTGGAGCATGTTCCTGGCCTTCAAATATCTTCCTAGGGTGTGGAGGCAGATGTTTCTCTCCCAGCTGATGGATAACCGTCACTCAGAGCCGTGGAGATGACCCAAACGCTCCCAAGAGCACTGCGACCTGGGAGTCACTCTGGGATTTTGGAGGTTTATTTACCCCTTCCCTCCTGCCCTGGCTGTAGGATTTCTTCAAGAAGTTCCTGTACGAGCCCCTGCCAGTGGAATCCCACCTGGATCACTGCATGCACGACCACTTCAACGCTGAGATCGTCACCAAGACCATCGAGAACAAGCAGGATGCGGTGGATTATCTCACGTGGACTTTCCTGTACCGCAGGATGACCCAGAACCCCAACTACTACAACCTGCAAGGTGGGCAGAGAGGGCTGAGGGTATCAGGGACCCTCTGCCTGTGGGCTCTGCAGCTTTTTTTGCCCTTCCTGGAAAGTCTCTGAGCTCTGCTGTACCCACAGGTGTGTCCCACAGGCACCTTTCAGATCACCTCTCCGAGCTGGTGGAGCAGACCCTGAGCGACCTGGAGCAGTCCAAGTGCATCAGCATCGAAGATGAGATGGATGTGGCTCCTCTGAACCTGGGCATGATTGCTGCTTACTACTACATCAACTACACCACCATAGGTGAGGGCTCCCCAGGGACAGGCACCACACCTGCCCTCTGTCCCTGATCCAGTGCCGCAGGTGACAGAGAAGGTGCTGTGGGTGTGTAAAACTCCATCCTTTTGCCTCTTTTCTCTGAAAAAAATCAGTGTTTTCATGCTGTCTCCACTCCTCCCTTCCCCAGAGCTCTTCAGCATGTCCCTTAATGCCAAGACCAAGGTGAGAGGGCTCATTGAGATCATCTCCAACGCCGCTGAGTACGAGAACATCCCCATCCGGCACCACGAGGACAACCTGCTGCGCCAGGTGAGGCTCAGGGGGGGAAGTTCTGAACGACTGGACATGGCTCTCAGTGCTCTGGGTTGGGTGACAAGGTGGGGATTGGTCATAGGTTGGACTCAGTGACCTTGGAGGTCTCTTCCAACCTAATTAATTCTGCAATTCTGTGATCTCAGAGCTCTTTCCCATCCTAATTAATGCTGTGATTCCAAAAGGTGGTTTCTCTGCATCACCCCAGGGATGGAATTGTCCATGTTTTCGGGGTAAAGCACTGATGGGTTAATCATTTCTTCCCACAGCTGTCCCAAAAGGTCCCCCACAAGTTGACCAACCCCAAATTCAATGATCCCCATGTCAAGACCAACCTGCTGCTCCAGGCCCACCTGTCCCGGATGCAGCTGAGTGCGGAGCTGCAGTCGGACACCGAGGAAATCCTCAGCAAGGTGGGGCTGGGGGACCCAGCAAAATCACTCTGTCACTGCCCTCCACAACTGGACAGGGGAGAAAAAATATAGGGAAAGGTCCATGAATTGTGATAAGGACAGGGAGAGATCCCTCATTAATCACCACCGTGGGCAAAACAGACTCGAACTGGGGATAGGAATTGAATTTATTACCAACCAAATCAGAGCAGGATAATGAAAAGTTAAATAAGTCTTCAAAAAACACTTTCTCCTCCCTCCTTCCCAGGCTCTCCCTCCTACCTCCAGAGATGGGAATGGGAGTCACAGTCAGTTCATACCATGTTGCTCCTGCTGCTCTGCAGGGCTGCTCCTCTCACGTGTTCTCACTCTGCTCCTTCCTGCACCCAGTTCCATCTGTGCCATAACTTTTTCCTTAAACATATTATCCCAGAAGGTGTAACTGTCATTCCTGCTGGGCTCAGCTTTGGCCAGTGGTGGGTCCGTCCTGGGTCTGCTGGAATTGGCTCTGCTGGACATGGGGCAAACTTCTGGCAGTTTCTCACTGAATCCGACCCTGTAGCCCCTCCGCTACCAAACCCTGGGCACACCAACCCAACTCCCCGTGTCACCGTCTCCACCCCTTAACCTGTTCCTGTCCCCCATGTCCAGGCAATCCGGCTGATCCAGGCCTGCGTGGACGTGCTGTCCAGCAATGGGTGGCTGAGCCCAGCTCTGGCTGCCATGGAGCTGGCCCAGATGGTCACCCAGGCCATGTGGTCCAAGGACTCCTACCTCAAGCAGCTGCCTCACTTCACCTCGGAGCACATCAAGCGCTGCACGGACAAGGTAAATCCTGGTGGGAGGAGCACCAGGGTCCTGCCCTCAGAGTGCCGGGAAGCTCCAGGCTGAAAAAATTCTTCCTTGCAGGGTGTGGAGAGCGTGTTTGACATCATGGAGATGGAGGACGAGGACAGGAACGCGCTGCTGCAGCTCTCGGATGCCCAGATCGCCGATGTCGCCCGGTTCTGCAACCGCTACCCCAACATCGAGCTGTCCTACGAGGTGGTGGACAAGGACAGCATCCGCAGGTGGGTGGCCTTGGGGTCCCTCCAGCTGGGTGGAATTTAAGGTCCTTCCAACCCCAACCATTCCATGATTCTGTGGTTCTGTTCCTGCAGTGGGGGGCCTGTGGTGGTGCTGGTGCAGCTGGAGCGTGAGGAGGAGGTCACAGGGCCTGTCATCGCACCCCTGTTCCCTCAGGTATGGTGACACCGGGGTGGCAGGTTGGGGAGGGGGGGAATTGTCCCCAGATCTCACCTGTTTGCTCCTCCCTCCCCCTCAGAAACGTGAGGAGGGCTGGTGGGTGGTGATCGGAGACTCCAAGTCCAACAGCCTCATCTCCATCAAGCGCCTGACGCTGCAGCAGAAGGCCAAGGTGAGTAGGGGGTGGCACCGGGGGTGGCACTGGGCACCTTCCCTGCTGTCCCTGCTGCCATCCCAACACCTCCCCCTCCCCACCCAGGTCAAGCTGGATTTTGTGGCTCCAGCCACGGGGACTCACAACTACACATTGTACTTCATGAGTGATGCCTACATGGGCTGTGACCAGGAGTACAAGTTCAGTGTAGATGTGAAGGAGGCGGAAAGCGACAGCGACTCCGACTGATCCCAGGCCAGAGAATCCCCCCCAGAGCTCAGCCCCCCACCTCCAACCTCCACAGCACTCGTGTACCCTCCCTTTGTGTTGTTTCCATGTGTTTTCCACATGTTTTCCTTTGGTTTTTTAAAGTGTGGATGCTTTGTACAGTGTTTTCTAGGCAGGAGCTGCGTGACAGCAACTGCAATAAATCTCGGGACCTGACTCTGTGCTGATGGGGTGAGGAGGGGGGGAAAAAGTGTGACTCCAGACTCGCTGAGCTCTGCCTTCACCCTGAGGCTCAACAAGCTCATTAGCAGCACTAATTAGGACATTTCTGGGAAAACTATGATGATCCCAGCACCTCAGTGCTTCCCCTTGCCACCTCATCCATGTCCATGGAGCACCCACACCCTCTTGTGTCACTCTGAGCATTCCAGGAGTGTGAAAAGAAGATCCCAGGTGTGTGATCATGGAATCCTGAAGGTTGGAAGAGACTTTAGGATCAAGTCCAACCATCAACCCAAGAACTGTAACCCCCAAACCACTTGTGGAAGGAAGATCCAGAGGCCAGGAGCTCATGGATTTATTGGGTGTGGGGGATGAAGAGAGGGGAGAAAGTCCTGCTCCAGATCCTGGATCCAACCAGAGTCTGGCACAGCTGTCCTGGCCTCCCACAGGTGAGAAGGAGGAGCAGGCCAGGGTGGGCTCAGGGGGACACACAAGGGGGTCTGTCCCCTCAGCAGCCCTCGGGGCGCTGGTACTTCCAGAAGGCGATGTCCCCGTCATCGCTGCAGGACGCCAGGAGTCCTGGCTCCTTGGGGTTCCAGGCCACCCCGTTGACGTCCTGGGAGTGTGCCCGGGGCACGTGGGCGGTGAGGCTGAAGGTGGGCTGGGCCTCCTCCGACGTGGGGCTCTCCTCGAACACCCGGATGGCGTCGTCACCACAGGCTGTGGCCAGGGCACCTGTCAGGTGGCACCTGGGGGGGACACAGAGGGGATGGAACCTGGGGAGGTGGCATCTGGAAGGGACAGGGCCCCAATGAGGTGGCACCTGGAGGGGTCGTGGCTGTCACCAGGAGGGGACAGGGCCCTGTTTTGGGGTGCCCCCAATACCTGCCCCTCACCAGGACACGTCGTAGATGGTCCTGCTGTGATACCCTGAGAGGGTGCACACACACTTCCAGGTGGGATCGGTGCCACTGCAGGCCACGCCTGGAGGGAGGTGAGAGCTCAGTTCCCTTTCCCTCCCCTTTTTCTCTTTCCCTCTCTTTTCCCTCTCTCTCTCCTTTCCTTCTCCCTCTTCCTTCCCTTTCCCTCTCCTCCCCTTTCCCTCATTTCCTTTCCTTATGCTCTCTTTCTCCCTTCCCTCCCCCTCTTTTCCCTCTGCCTTCCCTCTTCCTCTCCTTCTCTCTTTTGACCCTCTTTCTTTTCCTCCATTACCTCTTCTCCTCTCCTTTCCCCTCTCTTTTCCCCTCTTTCTCCTCCCTTTCCCCTCTCCCTCTTCTTTTCCCTCTTCCTCTTTTCTCTCCCCCTTTCCCCTCCCCACAGCTCTCCCCCCCACCTCCCCTCACCTTCCTGGTTCCCGGGGTGGTACCGGCGCCACACCCGGAGGGTCCTGTCATCACTGACAGATGCCAGACGCTCCCCCTCCTTGTCAAAGGCCACGGCCCAGACGGTGGAGTCGTGTCCCTCCAGGGTGGCACAGCACACCCAGTCGTCCTCCTCCTCCCGGTACAGACGCACCGTGTCGTCGTAGCTGGCAGAGGCCAGGAGCTGGGGAGGCAGGTGGGGGGGCAAAGTGACCCTAAATCACTCTGGATGGGACCACAGGAGGGGCTGGAAGGGGGCGGGGGGAGCGGGGGGGGGGACTCTGGGAGGTCCCCTCTCTCACCTCCTGGCTCGGGTGCCACACCACATGTTTCACGTCCTGTGTGTGGGCATTGAGGACACTCACACACTCATATTCCTCCTCCTCATCCACTGTGGGGGGACAGAGTGGTCAGGGGGGGTCTGGCTGAGCCCCTGAACACCTCCCCCCAGTCCTTCCCAGCCACCCCCAGCCCCTTCTCACCTTCCCACACCCAGACACTCTTGTCTCGGCTGCACGTGGCCAACAGGGACCCCGAGGGTGCCCAGGCCACCGACTTCACCTCATTCTCGTGCCCCTCGAGGGTGGCCACGCACTGCAGGGGGACAGGAAAGGCTGGGACAGGTTGGAGGGCCCCAGGGGGGCTGGGGGGATTCTGGGGGGGTGGTCTCACCTCAAATCCATCCTCCTGCCGCTTCCAGACGCAGGTGGTGCCATCGAAGCTGGCAGAAGCCAGGTAGGAGCCACAGGGGGACCAGGCGACCCTGCGCACGGTGCGCTGGTGCCCGTCTCCCAGCACCGCTCGGCATGTCCAGCTGGAGCCTGGGGGGTGGGATAGGGTCCATGGACACGCTCCGGCCACACCCAGATCCACACCCAGCACTGCCCCGACCACACCCCAGCCATACCCAGCACTGCCTGGCATGTCCAGACAGAGCGTGCAGGGGTGGGACGGGACCCCATGGGCACAGGCCATGCCCCTGCCACCCCAGCCCCGCCCCAGTCACCCCCAGCCTCACCCAGCCCAGGATGGGACCACCCGAACACGGGACACGCCCCCGAACAAGCCCCGCCCACATGACCAGCTAACCCCGCCCCTCGCCACAGCTCCGCCCCCACTCCAACCCTCTAACTCCGCCCCCAGTAAAGCCACGCCCACAGCGAGCCCGTAACCCCGTCCCCTCCTCACAGCCCCCCCCTTCTCCCCCCCGCTGCTCCTCCGCACCCGCACAGCCCCGCAC